GATTTCTTTGTGTGTTTTTATTATTAACTAATGTTAAGTTACATTTTCTCTTCAAGCTCATTTTGTTCATACCATGTTATGCAATGTAATTTTTATGGGTCTTTGTTTTGTAAAATAACATAATTTTGTGTACTTGGGGCTTGGATATTTATTTGTATATACATCAATTTGATGCGAGACATTATAAGATTAGGCTTAGGTTTTGCTTCTATTTTCATGTTGGTTAATATATGATTCTGTGCTAATAAATTTTGTGCGTATAATATGCTTTTATGTAGGAGTAATTTGAGCTATGGGGATGGTGCGAAAGACATAATTTCTGAAAAAAATTGTAGTATTGATGAGGAGATGGTTGAAGATGTTACATACGGTAACATTTTAATGAGCGGTCGGAACGACGAACCAAGAATTGGAATGAACTTTGATACACTTGATGAAGCATGAGAATTCTGGCAAAATTATGGGAAGTCGATGGGATTTGGGGTTAGAATACATTATCGCAACAAAAGCCAAAAGGATGGAGCATATAATAATGCAGTTTTCGTTTGCCGTAAAGAGGGTAAAAGGGCTGAAGACAAAAGAAGGGTAGGAGTTGTGCATCGATGGGAAGAAAGAACGTCATGCAAGGCCAGATTAAATATAGTTTTGGAGAGGTCAAGTGGTAAATACAAGATCACAGAATTCGTTCGAGAACATAATCATGAACTTGAGCCTCCAGAGACGAGTCACATGTTGAGATCCCATAGGCAAATGACTCAAGCTGCCGCTGCCGCAATTGATTTGGCACATGATGCAGGACTCACCCCAAAAGCAACACATCACTTGATGATTAGAGAAACAGGGGGTTGGGATAAGCTCGGATACATAATGGAAGACCAAAAGACTTATTTGCGGTCGAGGAGAGAAAAACACATGGTGTATGGAGAGTTGGGAGGTATAATTAGATACTTTGAGCAGAGAAAAGGTAAAGATCCTTCCTTTTTTTATTCAATGCAATTTGATAGTGACGAACTAGTCACTAATATATTTTGGGCTGATTCTAGGATGATTGTTGATTATGGTAATTTTGGTGATGTAATAACACTTGATACAACATATGGAACAAACAAAGAATTGAGGCCCTTGGGTGTATTTACGGGATTTAATCATCATAGGCAAATGGTCATCTTTGGGAGTGCACTTTTGTACGATGAGACCGCCGATTCTTTTGCTTGGCTTTTTGAAACTTTTTTAAATGCTCATGGAGGTAAAGAGCCTCAAACCATTTTTACGGATCAAGATGCGGCTATGGCGAATGCTTTGGCAAAAGTATTGAAAAACACAAGACATGGGTTGTGCACGTGGCATTTGAATCAAAATGGGATCAAACATTTGGGTTGGCGAATGAAAGATGATTCTTCTTTTTTAACGGAGTTCAAGAGGTGCATGTTTGAATATCTTGAAGAGGATGATTTTGAAAGGGAATGGAAAAATTTACTTGATCGTTGTGATTTGCACAATAATGAATGGTTATCTCGTACGGACGACTTGAAGGAAAAATGGGTCAAATGTTATATGAAGTATGCATTTACCTTGGGAATAAGAAGCACCCAACTTAGTGAGAGCTTGAATAGTGACTTGAAGTCCTACTTGAAATGTGATTTGAATATTTCTGACTTTTTTAAACAGTTTGACAGAGTTGTCGATGAAAAAAGAGAAAGAGAGCTTAAAGCCGACTTTGATGCGAGACAAAAGTTGTCTCCATTGGAATCTTATGATTCTTTGTTGTTGATGCAAGTTTCACAATTGTACACTCCTGAATTATTTACATTTTTCCATATCGAACTTCGTGCTTCCTTAAGAGTGATAATAGAAAGAAAAAATGACACTCGAAGCCCGCATGAGTACGTGGTTTGTCTTCATGGTTCAAGAGAGAAAGAGATGAAGGTACTCTTTGATCCTACAAAAGAGTGGGTTGTTTGTAGTTGTAGAAAGTTTGAAAGTATGGGAATATTGTGTTGTCATATCCTGAAAGTATTTATTGTCCAAGACGTGATGTGCATTCCACAAAAGTACATATTGGCCAGGTGGACAAAAGGAGTGAAAAGTGCCCAAAACTTGTGCAAAGGAAGTTCTAATGGTGTGGAGAATGTTATGGAATGGGTTCAAAGGCTTCAAT